GCACAAATCAGACAGAGCAGTAAAAGTCAGGCATATTCTGGCATCTTTCAAGACAACACCTTTGGGGAGAACACTCCCCCCTCCCAGTTTGAAGTTCTTATCTTGTGTGTTGTACTTTCAGACTTTATCTCAAAGAAGGGAACATTTCACTTATAATTTACTAGAATGTGAATGTGATCTATCTCTTTCATCATTGATCACCACAGCCGATTACCTTGATCTGGCTACCAAGAGTAAGTCTATCTTCACCATACACATGTATCTATCTCACAGTCATACTTCTATCAGAAGTAGATGGGACCATTCTGATGTCAAGGGCACTTATGGTAGGACACTAGAAAAACATCAAATTAAGTTATCCTGGGCATGAATTACAATATTTGGTGAAATGAGGCACAGAGAAAGAGTGAAAATTCCCAGGGTGTGCATACTTACACAAAGAATACAATCCAGTTCTTACTATAACTCATATTACCCATGAGTACAGACTCTTGTGTATCATTACCTGTTCTCAACATCAGTGAATACTTTTAAGTGACTTGGGCTGTTGGTCTTATTTCCTCCATTCCATTTTAATGCTTTTGATTTCCTTTTACTCTTTTTTCAAATAGCTCTACTGCCATTGAAATCACACACATGACAATTCACCCATTTAAAGTAATTGGTTCTTGTTGTTGTTATGTGCCGTCAAGTCGGACCCAACTCATAGCGATCCCTCCTTGGGTTTCCGAGGCAGTATCACTACAGAAGTAGATTGCCCTATCTTTCTTCCGAGGAGTGGCTGGTGGGTTTGAATCGCCAGCCTTCTGGTTAGCAGTCAAGTGCCTTAGGCACTATGCTACCAGAGCTCCCAATTGGTGCTTAGTATATTTAATAAGTTGTGTAACCATTACCACAATTTGATTTTAGCACTTCTGTATTACCCAAAAAGAGACACCCTATACATCAGCAGTCACCTCTATTTCCTTATCCTCTCCTCTGGCAACCACTAAGCTATTTTCTGTCTCTACAGTTTTGCCTATCCTGGGCATTTCATTTAAATGGAATCATATAGTATGTGGTCCTTTATGACTGGCTTCTTTCAGTTAGCATAATGCTTTCAAGGTTCATTCATGCTGTAGTATGTATCACTACTTTTTTCCTATTTATGGCCAAATATTCCTCTGAATTCAGTGAATTTTGCTCATCCATTCTCAGTTAATAGACATTTGGTTGTTTCCCCTTTTATGGTTATTATAAATAACGAATGCTGCTATGAACATTCTTGTACAAGTTTTTGCACAGATGCTGGGGTAGTTAAATTTGTATGTCATGTTAGCTGGGCCTGGTTGGTTGGCTGGGCCTGGTTGGTTGGCTGGGCCTGGTTGGTTGGCTGGGCCTGGCTGAGTGGCTGGGCAGCTGGTGGTAGTTGTTCCCCATGATGAGACTGGCAATCAACTCCATGGTAGGATCTACCACAAACAGCTGAGTAGCTGCCGTTGGGATGTGGTCTGCTTCTTGTATATAAGGAGAAGTCTTGGGGGATAGTCTCTAGCTTAGGGCACGTTTGGACCCTGCATGTAGCCATGTCATTGTTCAGCAGTCTGCCATGCTCTGCCGGACTTGGGACTTACAATGGGCTTAAATTAATGGCCTGCCATGTGGTTTGGTAACATCAGGACTGTGCCTTTTCACTTGTCGACCTTGGGTTTGACAGCCTCAGTAGCTAGCAGCTGCCTGAGTGGAGAGATGCATCTAGCTTCAGTGGGCCAGGAGCAAGAGGCAAAGCTAAAGCCCAAGGTCCAGGGGCTTTCACCCAGCCCCTAGAGCCTGGCACTTGGAACTTGGACTTAAAGCCTCCAAACTGTGAGAGAATAAACTCCTGTTTGTTAAAGCCATCCCATTTGTGGTATATTCTTGTCAGAGCTGCACTAGGTAGCCAGAATAGAGTATGATACTGAGAGAGTGAGGTGCTGCTCTGACAGACACCTAAAATGTGGAAACAGAAGTGGAGTGAGTCCTTGACCTGAGACCCTGGCAGAGAGACCCCGGCATATGGCATGAGAGATGGCAGGAGCAGAGCCAAGAGACTGGCAGAGAGATACCGGCAGAGAGACCAGCATGAAGGATGGCAGTAGCAGAGCCCAGAGACTAGCATTACATAGCAACAGGCTTACCAGCCCACGGAGGAGAAAGCCGCGTGCCATAGGGTAGGCGGCTTCCTGGTGAAGTGGGTTGCCTTTGGGCATTAATTAGTGAAGAGACTGGCATAAAATGGAGTAGCAGGTTGGCTGGCCCACTGAGCAAGAAAGCTAAGTGTCCCTTGGGCTGGAAGATTTCCAGCAGAGTGGGTTGCCCTCGGGCATTAATTAGCAGAAGCAAGAGACTAAGGAAACAGGAAGCAGAGCTGCCTCAGCCTCAAAGGGTAGGACCATGGCCTTAGGGATGGAACTACCACAGCCCCCTAGGTTTCAAAGAGTTAGACCTTCACCAACTCGGTTCTGGAGTGTGGGGCCGTTTGTTCATGTGAATCAGTGGGATGGAGCCATAGCGGCTGCCCAAGAGTGAGGGGGCAGGGCTGCCATGCCCAAGAGGGAGAGGAACGGGGCTTACCAAATCAAGGGGGTGACGTCACCATTTAGAGGAACTAGGGGACGGGAGCCACCTAGGGAGAGAGATCTGTACAGATGCCACCCAATGAAGATCTGTACAGGTGCAAAGTTGACAAGGGTTGGAATTGTGGTAGTTAAATTTGTATGTCAACTTGGCTAGGCCTTGTTGAGTGGCTGGGCAGCTGGTGGTAGTTATTCCCCATGATGAGACTGGCAATCAGCTCCATGGTAGGATCTACTACAAGCAGCCTTTGGGATGTGGTCTGCTTCCTGTATATAAGGAGGAGTCTTGGGGATAGTCTCTAGCTTATGGCATGCTTAGACCCTACATGTAGTCATGTTGTTGTTCAGCAGCATGCCATGCTCTGCCAATCTTGGGACTTACAATGGACTTGAATTAATGGCCTGCCATGTGGTTTGGTAACATCAGGACTGTGCCTTTTTACTTGTCAACCTTGGGCTTGTCAGCCTCAGCAGCCAGCAGTTGTCTGAGTGAAGAAATGCCTTTTAGCTCCAGTGGCCTGAGAGCAGGAAGCAGAGCTGAAGTCCAAGGTCGAGGGGCTTTCACCTAGCCCCTAGAACCTGGCACTTTAAACTTGGACTTAAAGCCTCCAAACTGTAAGAGAATAAACTCCTGTTTGTTAAGGCCATCCAATTTGTGGTATATTCTTGTCAGAGTGGCACTACGTAACCAGAACACATGCTTTTATTTATCTTGGATACAAACCTGGCATGGAATTAGAGGGTCCTATGGCAATAATATGTTTAATATTTTGAGTTCTTTATGCTTTTAACCTTTTTTTATGATTAAATATTTCAAACTATAATTTATAAAGGGAAAGTTTCTTAAAATTCTCCTCCAACCCTACAGAAATAACTATTATTAAAAGTTGGGTAGATAAACATTCTCTCATTTTTTTTTTCAATGCACAGACCAATAGTATAACAATTATTATATAAGTTGCATTATACTATACACATTTTTTGTATCTCATGCTTGCTGCTCAATTCCATATTTGTTTGAAGAGATAGATGGATCTCTTTCTCTCTCGCTCTTGAATCAGTTACATGCCTAGGAAAATTTTCATTATTGACTAGAAACCACAATGCTAATATGTTGATAAAGGCTATCTCATTATGTCATCCTATTTTATCGTCTACAGTCCCTACACTTGGAGGTGATTTTGCTTCCATGTATTCACTGGCACATTCTTCTGTGGACTCCATTTGTTGATTTGTTTAGAAAGAAATGGATCTACAGACTAAACTTGGAAATCATATCAAACCTAATGATGATTATCTTAGCAAATGTAAAGCTGAGTGGGGAGATAAGTATAAAATCAAGCTGGCTTACCCTTGATGATTAGCTCTATTATTTCCTACTGATTGATTTTTTTTTTTAATTTAAAAATTAAATTAAAATTTAAAATGTTAAATGTTAAATGTAAATGTAAAATGCATTTTTTATATAACAGAGAAGAAAGTAGAAATTCTCTACCTCTCCAAATGTTAAATGTAAAATGCATTTTTTACATAACAGAGAAGAAAGTAGAAATTCTCTACCTCTCCAAATTCTTTTTGCTTCTCCATGGAATTTTATTAGCTTGGAGTTTATCTCTCCAGATTTTTTCTAAACATTTAATTAATGTGTATATGTGTGTGTGTGTGTGTATAAATATATATATAATATAAATACAATAATGTATATATATATTATTTCATGGCTTTTTTTTCCACTTAACATTATATTTTATAGATCTTTCCAAGTCATAGATGTAGAATACTACAAGTTGAATTTGAAATAGTATAACTGAATATATCCCAAAATTTGACCTGCTGGAGCTCCAATGTAAACTTTACACTGTCAGAACAAAATGGGTCATTTTCAAAATTAAACAAAAAATAGTTCAGTGTATTTAGGGGCACAGTCTCAAAAACCAAGCCACACTTATTTATTGGGTGCCTCTCCATGTTCAAGAAGCTCTGGTAGTACAGTGGTTAAGGCATCTGGCTGCTAAACAAAAAGTTGGTGGTTCAAACCTACCAGCCACTCCATGAAAGAAAGATGAAGCAGTCTGCTTCCGTAAAGATTTATAGCCTTGGAAACCCTATCAGATTGCTGTGAGTCAGAATCCACTCAATGGCAGTGAGTTCAGGTTTGGTTTACTCCACGCCAGTACAAAGCAAGGAGCAGGGGAAAAAGCACCTGGCACAGTCAGCCCCTCCAGGTGCTTAGGACACCTCGATAGGAAGCAGCTCAGCAGTGCCCCTAACACTGCCTCTGCAAAGAGGAACAAGCCCTGCTACAGATGTAGTGACCTGTGCATGCAATGCAATCTATTAGGTGTTGCCTTGTCTTCAGCTTCGTGACTCAGAGTTACAAAGGCAAGCATCAGAATGGTGACTTACTTTAGGTCGAGTGTCAACAACATATATGAAGTCACTTTCTGGATTGGCTTTTCTGATGGCCTGGAGCATCTGCTCATCCTCCAGGCACCGGGCACTGAAGCCAGACAAGGGCTGGCTGCTCCGACAGATGGAGGCCTGGTTGGAGAGACACAGCAACACAGCACAGTCAGACAACACTGCAGTCGTACCCCCAGAGGCTCTCTAGATGTGTTGACAGGATGAAGAACCCCTGGTTTACTCATGATACTGTCTTCTGGAAATTGAGGCTTGTTTATTGTTAGCGCAGATCAAAGAAACCATGGCATGGGCAAGCAGTGCAAAAATCTATGTGTGTAAGTAATTAAGAAGGTGTAAAGATGTTTAAATAGATCCAAATTATGAAATTTAAAACCATTTAAATGACCTTTCTTTCCTTTGTATTGGTATTATTTCATTTTCTTGCTAAAGATAGAAATACAAAATAAATATTCTCCTTAAACTTTTGGGACACTATTAATGAGAAGGTTAATAAAAGGAGAAATACACACACACACACACATACATATAGGAGCTCTGGTGGCATAGTGCCTAATGAAATAAGGCATCTGACTGCTAACCAGAAGGCTAGTGGTTCAAACCCACCAGCCACTCCTTGGAAGGAAGTCTGGGCAATCTATTTCCATAGAGATACTGCCTTGGAAACCCAAGGAGGGGTCACTATGAGTATAAACCGACTCGAAGGCCGTGCGTTTGGTATATATATATATGTGTGTGTGTGTGTGTGTATACACACACATATATATTGTTTTAATGCTTTCCATCATTTTTTACTAGAATATTTAAAAATATCACAAATGTTAAAAACAAATCTCAATTCCAGATTGAAAAAATACTCATTCCTATGAAAGCCAAAGTCACTGTTAGGTTAAATAACAAAGGGAAAAGGGAACAAGTCTACCTTGATTGAAGTGTGTTTAGAAACAAGGGGTTTTTTTTGAATCAAACTGCATTCTATTCTAGTCTCCCCATCCTGAAATTCTGAGTATATTGTACAGCCACCTCCCATCTGTCAGTGGCAGCTTTCATGCAGTGATATGCTGAACAAATTTTAGTGGAGCTTCTAGCCTAAGACAGACTAGGAAGAAAGCCCTGGTGGTGTACTTCTAAAAATCAGCCAATGAAAACCCTATGGCAACAGAGAAAGAAGGAGAATCATGAATACAAGAAGAATATGGACTGTGTGGCTAACTGCCTCCATGCACAACTGCTTCCTTTGCCATGAGGCCAGAAGAACTGGATGGTGCCTGGCTACCATTACTGAACATTTTGCTAAAAGAATCCTGATCAGAGGGGGAAAATGCAGAACAGAATTTCAAATTCTCATGGATTCCAGACTTCCTGGAGTCATGGTGTTTGGATGAACCCCTGAAACTAGTGCCCTGAGAAAATCTTTCAAACTTACACCAAAAATATCCTGTAAAATATTCTCAAAACCAAACAACAGTTTAGCTTAACTAGTTAAAAAAAAAAAAAGTCTGCCTTGATTATTAAACTCTTTTAAGAGCTACCTATATGGGATCAAATTAACAAGAGCTTCTTGAAAGATTAGATAGGAACCTTAGGGGGCAGTGAATTTATGTTAATGGGGGAGGAACAACTCAGAAAATGAGGGTGACAGTGGTTGCACAACTCAAAGAATGTGATCAGTGTCACTAAGTGGTACATGTAGAAACTGTTGAATTAGTGTAAGTTTGGCTGTGTACATTCTCAACAATAACAAAATAAATAAAATTTTAAATGATAATAATAATAAATCCCTATGGATCACAACAATATAATTCACACTGATCCTGGGGATGGTGCAGGGCTGGGTAGTGATTCATTCTGTTGTGCATGGGGTTGTCATGAGTTGAGGAACAAGAGCAGCAATATCGCCACTGCTAGACAATATGTATAATAGGATACACCTTTTCCTGAGATATCAACAGATGAGTATAGGTACAAACTTGCAGCTAAAAAACTTATACTTCAGTGGCACAGCCTTATTTATTTATTTATAAATGAAATTAGGTTTTATGTTCACATTTAAATTGAACTCAAATCATCAAGTAAAATACAGGAATAATTCTTTCAAAGGATTTACAGTTTAAATCCATATAAATATATAAATATTATATAAATATATAAATTGGATCTACAACTGTAGATCCATCGTATAAGAGAATGAAGGCAGAGCAACAGGGCTGGAAAAGCTGTGATGGTCAGTCAAGGAAGGGGCCCCTCTAGGCAGGCTAAACAGAGAAAACTTTGAATATAGTCACACTACAGCTTCTTCTGGGTGCTTGCACTGCGATGAAGGGTCGGGCACCTCAGCTCTGAGAGCAAATCCTAGTGGTTTAACTGTCCTCAAAGCTTGACACAGAATAAAAGAGGATTTTTCCAGAAAAATGCAAGCTTTGGTGCTCCTCATGGGAAAAAATAGGGATGTTTCTTGTTATCTGTAAGATCCTTCAGCTGAGGACCTGCTGGCAATACCTGGAATCAGAAAATGGCTAGACATAGAACTGACACCTATCTGAGGGTTCCAGTACTACTGCTTAGTTGTTGTTGTTATTTGTTACAGGGCAATTACTGATAGGGTTCAAGGAAATCTGGGGCCTGTAGCCAAGTTCAGATTCAAGAGGGCAGTGCATGGTAAGTGGGAAGCAAAGTAATGAGACAGTATAGTCTCTCCAAGGTTCTTTAATTCTTGAGTTGTTGGCATTAAAAGTCCAAGTGTAGTAGGGAGGAGAAAGGGACCAGAGAGTCTGACCACAGAAGAAAGGACAGAGAAGTAAAGAGGAGACCCATGAGCAAGGTACAGAGACATTAAGGACAAAACAGGGGTTGAAAAGCAAAAGGCAAACTGAGTCCAATGGACAAAAAGCAAATCTCCAGACAGCTTTTAGAGTGCTTCACTGGGGATTTCTGTGCTGTTTCTTCTGGCCTTGAAAGGGGTCAGGTCTGCCAGCTGGCCCTGAGGGAATTCTGACTGGACAAAGAACAGTTCCGAGCTGGCTTTTCTGATACTTAATCTGGGATAAAGAAATATTAGTGAAAGACAGCTACCACTAGGCAATCTGTTAGAAGAGTTAGATGGGGAACGGAACATATTTAAATGGTGAGAATTTGTCTGTGAGTACATACACCTAAACTCAGTAAATGAGTAAGAAATAAAGTGAGGTAGTGGCAACAACTATTACTAATTACCTTCAAGTTGAGAGCAACTTATTGTAAGTGGGGGTTAAGCTAAAACAAAGTTACACTATGAAATATAGTCAATAAATGAAATTATATACAGTAATATACAATTTATGACAGGGTTCCATTCTGACAACTCATTTATAAGTCGGTTTTGATGTAAATTGAATACTTCGATTTTTTTTTTTTTTAATTTTCATTAGTATTGCCTTTTATTGTCTCTACTTTTATAAATCTGATCTTTATTTGTCTTTGGGAGTTGGTATGAGAAAGATAATATCAGCAAATTACTCACTGCAAAGTTGTATGTTATTGCTAACCATAAGAGGTACAAAATGAAACCAGACGGTCACAGTGAAATTTACGGTAACTTGAATATGTTGTAAGTTGAAGAACAGTATCCTGTAGTTATATTTTCTTATTTTGGGTTAAACAGGGAATATTCTCTGAGTGTTTCTGTCCATTCTACATATACACCCCATAATAAAGCTGTTGAGAGATTTTACCATTACCAGGCAGGACCACAGAGCAGAGATAAAATTCTGTGATAAACTCTCATGAGAGCCTTTCTAAAATAGTACCAGTAATTAATATATCCAACTTTTTTTTTTTTTTTTTTGAGTGCTTTCTGTGCGGTAGGGAAAATTCTAAGAACTAGATGTGTACTTTTATTTAAACTTTCCAATTACCATATCAGGTAAGATTTATTATTTGCTTCACTTTGTACATCAGGGAGCTCTGGTGGCGTAGTGCCTAAGGCATTTGACTGCTAAGCAGATGGCTGGTGGTTCAAACCCACCAGCCACTCTACAGAAGAAACACAGGAAAATCTACTTCCGTAGAGATACCGGCTTGGAAACCTGAGGAGGAGTCACTATGAGTAGGTTCCGACCGACGGCAGTGAGTTTGTTTTTTTTTATACATCAGGGAACAGGGAACTATGGCACAGAGAGATTAAGCAACTTGCTGAAGATCACACACCTACAAAGTGGGGAAACCAGGGTATGAACTCAGGCAGACTACTTCCTGAGCCTTAATCAATATAATAAAGCATGCCTTTGAGAAAATTAGGCAGCATGATAGAGCATAAAGATTCAGTATAGAAGAAAAATCCCAGTTTCATTCTCACTCATTGTCTGATCTTGGGTAATTATTTTTTCTGAACCTCAAGGAGCTCTGGTGGAGCAGTGGTTAATGTATTTGGCTGCTAACCAAAAGGTTGGTTGTTCGAACCCACCAGCTGCTCCATGGGAGAAAGCTGAGGCAGTGTGCTTCTGTAGAGATGGACAGCCTTGGAAAGGCTATACAGAAGTTCTACTCTGTCCTTTAGGGTGTCTCTATGAATTATACACCATAATCCCCAATTGGAATCAATTTGATGGCAGTGGGTGTAGTTTAGTTTTGGTTTCTGAACCTCAGTTTCCTCGACTATAAAATGGGGATAATAATAACACAATTACAGGATGTAACAGGGAATCTAACACTACTAGAACTGTGCCTAGACCATATTAAGTTTCAATAAATATTAGTTATAATAGATGACCAAGAAGGGTTGTATTTTTCTTAAGGAAAATAGACTTTTTGGAAATCTTCCAGTTTTGATTCCCAGATTATTTGTGCTATATGAGTTTGGGAGACCATGCTTTGAACAATTTAAAGCAAATTTGGGTGGTGGTGTTTTTCAAATGACACTTAATATGAAGGAACAAAGGATAGAGTAATTCTGAGGGCTTCTGAGTACAAAAGTACCCAAGCTTCCAAACACAAGTAACATTTATATGTCTTTAATCGTGAGCCCTGGCGGTGCTGTGGTTAAAGAGCTTAGCTGATAACAGAAAGGTAAGTGGTTTGAACCTTCCAGAAGGACAAAGATGAGTTATTATGCGTCCATAAAGAAAGCATATGGATAACCTATG